ATACATACTTTGTCACTCAGAGTGTGCTGGCTATTTCTTTTACTCTCATGTCACACCTTTCTTGTCAAAATGGAACTCAGAGCCCTTTGAATGAGGCTCTGGCATTCAGGGAAGAGAGGTAGTGGGGACTGGGCTGGTAGGAAGTGGCCGGCATGGCAGTGGCAGACGGGCTTCAGGCCTTTCTGACTGTGCTGGTTTGGGGAGGAAGGACACAAAGGTTCAGGTGCAGGTGGGACTCAAAGGCGGGGGGGACCGGTGAGTGGGCCGGCTGAGCTGGCCAGCATGGCCCTCTGGACATCTGCCCTGAGGCCAGAGCCGCCTGTCCTCCTAGGCTGGGCACCTCCGAGCCCCTGGGAGTAGAAGCCTGGTTTAGAGGAAGTCCAGGGGCTGCCAGCAAATGGTTCTCAGGAGGAGGCCAGGTCTGAGGCTGGGCTCACCCCTCAGGGCTGACACCATGGGCTCCATTCCTTCAGGGCCTGGGCCTGACTTTGTCCCAGGCTTTGGAGTGCCAAGCTCAGGGGAACAGGTGCCTCCACATGGTATGCCAACGGGCTGCTGGCGGCACTAGCCCACTCGAGTGTGTTTTTAACTCTTCTTGTTTTTGCAATATTTGTTTATTTGGAGACTGAAAACTGCAGAGCATGGAAATGGTAGAAATCCAATGATACTACTTAATAACGCCAGGATTCTGAATCTTTTAAGAGCTATTTTCACTGTTGTTCATTAGAGAACCATCATCTTTATTTTTTTTAATTTAAGAAAGCATGCATTATAGTTTTTAACAAATACACAGAAGCACAAAGGAGAAAACAAAATAAGGGCCATACTTTTCCTGCCCAGATAATCCTTGATGACAGTCCTGAAAGGAGAGGGAAGGAAGTAAGGAGGGAGGAAGGAAGGGAGGGAGGGAGGAAATTGTATATATAAAACCAGAAAAACTGCATAGTACTGAAAAGTACAAAGAGTTTACTTTTGAGAGAGAAATAAGCTACCTCCTCAGCTCCCGGGAACTCAGTGGGGCTCACCAGATCAGACTGAGGAATGTGCTGGGTTTTTTTTTTTGTTTGTTTGTTTGTTTGTTGTTTTTTATTAAAATATCACTGATATACAATCTTATGATGATTTCACATAAATGACACTGTAGTTTCAACATTCACCCATATTATCAAGTCCCCCCCACCCCATAGCAATCACTTTCCATCAGCGTAGTAAGATACTATAGTCATTACTTGTCTTCTCCAGGCTGTGACACCTTCCCTGTGACGTACCTATATTGTTAATGTTAATTATAATGCCCCTTAATCCCTTCTCCCTCCCTCCCCACGCACCCTCCCCACCCCCTTCCCTTTGGTAACCGCTAGTCCCTTCCAGGAGTCCGTGAGTCTGCTGCTGTTTTGTTCCTTCAGTTTTGCTTCATTGTTATACTCCACAAATGAGGGAAACCATTTGGTACTTACCTTTCTCTGCCTGGAATGCATTGTGTTCTTTAAACTAGTACACTTGGTGAAGATCTTCCTTCTCTGGTTAAATGACATTTTCTCCTTTCACTTTTTTTCCCTTTCAACCTTCTACTTTGGAAGAATTACACCTTTTAGAAGCTCCAAACTAAAAATGACTTTCCTGTTGATGTCCCTGTTCCTCTCCCCGGAAGGAGTCTGCCTCTCTCCTGAATCCTCAATCAGATGCCAATTCCAGCTCCTTCAGCACACGGCTACCTTCTCATTTTCTGCTTTTTGCCTGTTTTAACAATGAGCACACAAATGGCAACCTTATGGTATTTTGCTGTAAAAAAGAAAAAAGAGCACAATAAGCAGTGCTGTGCTACTTGGAAAATAGTGTGGGCTAATTAATGGGGTGGTACCTTTCCTTTCCTTAGCTTCTGTGCAGGAAGAAGGAAAATGGGGAAATGGTTCCTTCTTCTATTTTGTTTTTTTGTTTTTTTATTGCACCATTAATCTCACTAAACAAGGCATGTTTTTTTAGTTACAGATCAACTAGAAAAAATGCATATGCTAAACCAGATGGGCGGAATTGACAGTTTCATTAAACTGATTTTTAAATGGCCAGTTTTACAATATCACCGGTAATATCATGGCTTTGATTTTGGAATTCAAACGTTAAGGAATGTGCAAAAAGAGTAATTTTACTTTAGAATTATTATTTTTTATTGTATTCACTATGCAGAAAATTGGTTAGGTTCTTCTGCAGAGAAAATACTGATTGGTAATATTTGGGGGAGTTAAGAATGTTAATATGTAAAAGAAAAAGTGAAGCCTTTTCAACCTGCCTGTAGTTCAGTCTGCAGGGTATTTTTGTGCTAAGGATTTGAGCTTTGTGAAAGATTCCCCTTTTGCTTCTTATTCTCCAGCAATCCCAGCAACCTGGACACTCTTGCTAATGATTTCTGGGGTTCTGTGCCATAGGTCAGAAGGGCAAGTGTTTCATTTGGAGCTTCATTTGGTTTGGAGTTTCTTCTCTCCTCTGAGCCCATAAACCCTGTGTCCGTGGGTACTCAGGCAAAACTCATCATCTTAGTTAGGTGTTTGAGCAAGTGAGGTGGGGATGAATTGTTAACAAAATGATAATGTTGTTTTGCTCAGATGGGCACAGAGGAGCATGTGAGATGAGTACATAGTTAAAAGTAAATGTATGAATAAGTAGGAGTAGGACTTATTTTGAAACTCCATCTGAGTGCTGCCATGCATACTGAATCCAGGGGAGAAGGTTCTTATCTTGTCTAATGGTTGGGTAGGATGGAATTCTTTCAACTATGCAAAGGGAAAAATCCAAAATGAGATCCCCAGACTCCAGGTGGGAAAGGGTATTGTTATTCAGATATATGCCAGCAGATGAGCAGAGGGAAATGTTCAAGGATGTTCATTGTCATGTTGTGGGTTATAGCAAAATCACTGGAAGCGACCCAAGAGTCTAAAAATAGAGAACTGGGTGGAAAAACAGCACTATTATAGAATGCGATACTATTGAAGCTTGAGAAAGAATGAACTTCTGATAGCCGTGGACTTCTGATAGCCATACTCATATGATACATGGTTATTTCAAGAAAAGAAAGTTGAGGGTCAGAATCTACAGGATCTTTTTGAAAAGAAAATGTGTACTTATCTATGCAGCTAGATGTGTTTGTGAATTACTGCCTGAGGAAAGGAGAAGTCTGGAAATCTACACACCAAGCTTTTAACAGTGTTTTTACTATTAAGGAAGGACTGGGAGAGAGGGGAACTTCTGTTTGTATTTTACACAAATCTGTATTGTTTGTTTTTTGACAACACAAGCAGCTATTTCTTTAGGGATTAAGAAAATACAGAAAGAGGAGCAAATTCCATTTGTTTAGTAGGGCGATTTTTTGTTGTTTTTTAGCAACTACTGTGCTTAGATCAAGAGCAAAAGCAGCCCCAGCTGCTGCCTCTTGGAAACCTAGGGAAGCCTGGGGTGAGGAGTCGCAGGAGCAGCAGAGGAGACTGACTGCCTTGCACCCGGTGGAGGTAGTGGGCGGGCTCCATCCCCACAACTCAGCAAGCGAGGCACCGGGCCCCTCTCAGGGGCAGCCAGCCCACCAGCCAGCCCGTGTGCCCAGAGGGACAACCCCAGCTCATAGCACACAGCTTGGGTCTCACAGATTCATTCACGGACCCCACTGGCCTGTTTTGAGCGTGGATTTCTGTGAGAGAATGGCCCTCAAATAACTCCAATGTAAACCTTCCCATTTGAGTTTTCCTGCATTGGAAACTCATCTCTGTTCATTGTTTGATGGAGTGCTGATAGTGTGAGTCTCTTGTTGCTTCCTGAAAGTTGTTGGTAGCATTTTAATTTTGGATAAAATTAAGAAAATAAGAGAAAAATGCTGGGCATAGCGATATTTAGTCAGATAAAATCTTTTGTCTTAAATAAGATGAGCATAGCTCTTTAAATGTAAATAATACCTGTGCAATCCTATATGATCTTTTGTAACATGTCATCTAACAGATGCAAAGAAAAGAAGATACACATGCCACATTTGTTGCCTGAATTAATAAACAAGAGAGACAATAATGTAGACCAGCTTTAGAAGATCGGAACACTAACATTACAGAGCCATATATCTTGCTAATTTGGCCATATGTAAGCTTAAAATGCTTATCAGATTTATGTGAGGATTAGGTAAATTAAAGTGTCAAATAGTTTAAGGTTGTTGCATAAATACAGAGGTCTCTATCCACAGTGGAAAGGCACTTATTAAAACAACGGGTTGCCTATTAGTCAGGAGGAGGGTGTCACAGAGCGAGTACAAGTCTGGATTTTGTCACCTCCAAAGCTGTATTCAAAGTTGGCACAGCCACTTACCAGTTTTTGTAACTAAGGCAGGTTAGTAGACTCTTCAGCATTCAGTCTTCTCATCTGGAAAATGAGGATGCTAGTAATAGTACGTATCTCATAAATTGTTCAGATTACATGACAATTTGCATAAGACACCTAACCCAGTATATGGCATCTAGGAAGCCATCTATAAAAGTTGACTCATTTTTTTTATCATGTTTAGAAACCCACGAGAAAACATGGAGGCAAAAGGTGATAAGAGAGCATCTCAAAATAAGGGTCTTTTGCTTCACATTTTAGAGCAGCACCTAGGAACTATTTCTGAGATATAACACATTCTTCTTCAGAGGGTCTCAGAGGGAAAAAAAAATCTCTCTGGAAGTTTCGGTGGTGAGTTACACTGAGGAAATTACTCTCTCAAGGTGCTCTCTCAGCTATATAAGGCACATCCTTTTCCCCAGGATACTAGGCTGTCGTTTAGCGACAAAGAAAAGTCTATTTACAGAATGACACTATGACATCCCCAAAGGGTTTAATTTACCTGCCCAGAAGGTGGTATATTTCAAGGCATGGCAGGGCCAACCATATTAATAACTCAGGTGGTTTAATTGGTTTTTCCTTCTTCTTTCTAAAGCCACGCCGATCCCATGGGAATTAATTGTGTATGCTGTGAATTGTGTTATTTACAGTGCCAAGGAACCAAAATGAATCTGTATTAGAAATCGGTGGGAGTATATTTGAAAAGGCTATAAAAAGGCTCTCCAGTGTGGATGGTCTTCACCACATTCGCTCTGTCATCCCGTTTCTGATGGATTCCAGCTGCTGTGGATACCACAAAGCATCCTACTACCTCGCAGTCTTTTATGAAACTGGATTAAATGTACCTAGGGATGAGTTGCAGGTAGAGTATTCCATGGGTGCCAGAGATACGAGCCACCTGCCTTGTGTCTGCAGAGGACTACTCTCATGCCCGACAACTGGACATGTTCATACTCCCCAGAGTCCTTTAAAAATCTTTGCATTCAAGGAAAATGTCCTAGAGGTGTGTTAAATATAGGATCTCTCTCTGTCACAGAGGGAATAAGGGGCCTTTATTTCTGGACATGGCCCTGGGGCTATGATTGATAGACTCTTAAAACAGTTTGGGCAGAACTTACCGGAATTCCAGTCCTTCAAGAACAGGTGCCTCTTACCCAACTCTTGTAATGGCTCTGACTATAGGGCCATTATCCCATATGAGATTTCTGCTAGGTGAAGTCCTTTGAACCTCTAAGCAAAATACTGTCACATCTAGCTTTTTATCATCAAAATAAAAAGCAGGCAGTTTCATTTGTGGTTTTTGAAACCAAGTTTATGGTGTAACTTGCCTAATATTTGTAATTATGTTTTTATAAATCCTACCAAATGGCCCCCAGTCACTTTTAGTTTTCAGGTTTGCATATGTGAATGTTTATCCTGGTTTGACGAGACTCAGACTGTGTAGACCTACCCATGTGTCTCCATGTTGCATTTAAATAGCTTCTTTGTGCATCTATCTGGCTTATAGACACTCCTGATTGATGGCTTGCTTTCCTGAGTCCCTGAGGCAATCCCCACAAAAGTGGAATAGTGTAGAAGATTGTAACTCCGTCTCTGCCACAAAGTGGGTGGTTGACCATGGATGCATGACTTCATCTCTCTCGGCCTCCATTTCCTCACTAAATGATCTCTAAGAGCTTGAGAGCATAATGTTGGGACATGGCCCCACTGTTCAGCTCATATGGCCATAGATGACGTAGCTCAAGCAGACCAGGGATCCTGAACAGATGGCAGATATAAGAGGTGCTTTGAAAGATCTCAGGGGAAGACCCCTATTTTCGATGAGAAAAGGGCAAAAAGGAATTTAAGCTATTATGCACTAAGAAGGCCAGATAGCTAAGACTTTGTAAACTATTAGAAAGCTGTTAGGGCTTCTTTTCTAAAGACATGTTCTGGAATGCCTATGCTAATATACAGGGACAGGCCAGAAGACCTTTTGATATTAGGATTTCATGACCCTTTTCTATCATCCTGTGAACATTGTCAATTTCTTCCCAACAGGGCATGTTGTATAGTTTGGTTGGAGGCCAGGGCAGTGAGAGGCTGTCTTCAATGAATCTTGGGTACAAACACTACCAGGGTATTGGTAACTACCCCCTGGACTGGGAGCTGTCCTATGCCTACTACAGTAACATTGCTATGAAGACTCCCCTTGACCAGCACACACTCCGAGGAGATCAGGTATGAGAAAGAAGTGGGTAGAAATGGTTATAGCCTTATTTACCAGGGCTTCTCAATATTTTATAAAGTGTCTGCACCAATGGCTGGTGTATTTTTGGGCCTTCAGAGGGTGAGCATCATCGAATGGAGAGAAAGCTTTCTTACACTTTCAGGTTCGTATTTCCTGACTGGGGTCTCAGACTGGGTGCGGGCGCAGTCCTCCATCTCTGCACAGTCCTTTTCAGGAGTGGAAGGACTGATATGGGAAGGGTAGATTTGGCCCTGGACAGATATTGATTTGGGGAAAATATGTAGAAACACAGGCATCTTGTCTTCGTTCCAAGACCATGTGAAGTGGTGGGGTACAGAGATGTCAGGGGGTGATTGAGTCAAACTGAGTGGCTGCAGTAAACCAAGGATTCCTCTCAATATGTAATAAATAAGCAGGGTCTATGATGTAAAGAAGCAAGCTCCATCCCTAGCTATGTTTCTGCTTTTGGGTGCCTTGAGAGCACCTGCCCCCATCGTGTGAGCCTTGCCAGCCAGTGCTCCCAGGTGACTGGCAGCCTAGGATGTTTGAAGACTGCACCATCTCTGATTAAGGACCAGATGAGGGGCACTAACTCCAGCCCCTAATTTTGCAGGCTCCCAAATCTTATTGACTCACTGGACAAAGAAATCAGTGGCTCACATCGCCATAAAAACAGACCGTGTTACATTGGACTAAGTGATGTTTGTTTTGAGGACCGGGATGAAAGGGTATGAGTAAAAGCGATGGTGTAAGAATAGGCGGCAAGCTGCTGCTGGATTATGCCAATCCGCAGCCAGTGGGAGGAGACTGACACGACTGGCTTTCTGGAATGTATTTTTATGTATCCTCTGTCTCCAAAATAGATTTATGATGTTTCGGTGGTCCACTTGAGGTGGTCAAGTTGAAAAGAAGTCCAAGTAATGTATACCAGGAGTCAGCAATTTTTCCATAAAGGGCCAGATAGTAAATATTTCAGGCTTTGCCCATAGTCTCTGTGGCCATGACTCAACTCTGCCAGAGACAGTATACAAACTGATAGAATTCTGAGTTTGTAGAGCCATTAATAGTATGTAAACTGCATGGCCAGATTTGGCCCTGGTCGAGGCCATCAACCCTTGATTTTCCCTGCTTATGCTCAGTGAGCCCAGGGAGAGGGTAAAGCTAGGTCAGGTTGTGGAATCAGGCTGAGCAGCTAACCGGGAACCAGACTGACCCCTCCCTGTTCCCTGGCCCTGCTTCTGGATTGTACTCAGAAATCCGCAGCAAAAAACAGAGGCTTTGATGGTTGGGAATACATAGTTTCTGGAAATGAAACCTACAGTGGCCACTGTACGCCTATGAAATAAATGACTCAAAGATACATGCTGCCAGTGAACATTAAACATGAGTCAAACTGTAAAACACCAGAAGGCCATCTGTATTTCCTTTAAAAAAAAAACAATGATTTCTTCTGAATAAACTTAAACACTCTCACCATTATCATTTGTATTCTCCTAGTGTATATAAGCTATATGCAAAATTTGATCCCAGTTTGACAGGCATTAATTTATGAAGTTTTTTTTAAAGGAATTATTCTTAGTAAAAAACATTTGTACAAAATCAAGCTACAAAAGAATGTTGCATTGTTCTACTAAGCCTGAATGTGTTAGTAAGGTCCTATATGTATATATTATACTGTTAGGAATTCTAATTCAGCATAAATTAGCAACGGGAAATGCTCTGTTGCTAACAAGCTCCTTTTCTTTTGAAGATGTGGCACATGAAATGTTATGATTATGAAAGAAAATGTTTCATTGGTCAGAACCGGAGAAGATGAATAGAAGAGATCCATCTTGCAGCTGAAAAGTCGTATGATTAAGAATCACAGATACGAATAATACAGTTAGAAGAGTTGTATCATAGCTCATTTTCTTAAGAATGTGTAATTAATGGCTCCTTGAAAATTTAAGCAGGTGTCACACATTGATTTAAATGTCCTGTTGTTAAGAAACCTGTTAATTCACCCGCAGCATGTACTGAACAAGGTACGGAAAGCCAGACCTCCAATTAACAAAGCAAGGATCTGTCAGTAACTCCTTTCTTGAGTCTCATTTCATTTTCTCTTTTGTAACTCATGCTTCATTCACATCATTTCATCTTCTTTATTAGTCATCTTGCTTCATGTCACTTCTTTATGGTTTACCAGGACTCTGCTTCAGGTTAAAGAGAAAGAAGACGGCTGCATTTTTTGTTTGTTTTGTGGATTAAACGTGAATGAGTTCCTTTCATTCTCTCCACTCCTCAGAATTTGTTTCTCTGCAATTTTTGGTCCCAGCCTCTTCTTGATACACATTTTAGAGGAACAGACCCTCATCCACACCCCTGGTTTCCACTGCCCTCCACAGGCTGGTGACACTCCATCCTCGCTCTCTGGCTGAGATGTTTCTTCCAACCCTCATCTGCACTCATAACATATTGCAAAGGAAACTCACCATCTCCTCTCTGTTCCCTATAAATATGCTCACTGATAGATCATCGCCCATGCTGGCCACGGGGGACTCATCTTTGATAACCCCCATCCCATCATCCCATCAGGTACAACCTCAACAGCTCTACCTGCCTGTTTCCCTCTCTGCCCATCTCTGTCCCCATGGACACCTCATTTGCCCTTCACCATCACTCCCCAGAGCCTCGGGAGGTAGCCTTTTGCCATGGGCTGAATTGTGTCTCTCCTCAAACTCATATGTTGAAGCGCTAACCCTCAGAACCTCAGAATGTGGCTGTATTTGGAGATAAAGCCTTTAAAGAGGTAATTAAGTTAAAATGGAGTCATTAGGTGGGTTCTAATCCAATATGACTGGTGTCCTTAAAAGAAGAGGACATTAGGACACATACAAAATAGACAGGGGCGACCATCGAGGACACAGTGAGAAGGCAGCCATCTGCATGCTGAGGACAGAGCTTCAGAAGAGACCAGAGCTGCCGACCCCTTGACCTTGGGCTTCTAGTCTCCAGAAGTGTGGGAGAATAAGCATCTGGGTTAGCCCCCCAGGCTGTGGCATTCTGTTGTGGCAGCCCACACAGACTAGTACCCATCCTACCTGGTCCTCCTGTCACCAGTCTGGGCCCTGCCCACTGTCTTCTCACTGAGGCCAAAGTGAGGGTCTCAATCCTCGAGGTCTCAGCCTGGCTGAACATCAGAATCCACAGGGGGGTTAACAGTACATCCGCACCAGCTCCATCCCTCATTCTAACTGAAATGATGGCCGTGGGCTCCAAGCATAAAATAACATGTATATGTATCTGTACATGTATGTGTGTATTTAAAAGCTCCTCAGATGGTCATGATGTCCAGCCAGTGCTGAGAAGCTCTGATCCAGAATAACTAAGCCCAGCTGGTCACTTGGCATGGGAGCTGCTCCTTGGTTTGTCCCTCTGTGCTGTCCCGAGCTCCTTTCCCAGTGCTCCCTGCTTGGACTGCCCACTCTGGGGGCACCAAGCTTTTGGCCACCCCATGCTGTTCATACCTCCTGGCCCTCCCTGGTTTGCTTTCTGCACACCCCCTGCCCTTTTCCTGCTTGCTGACCCCTCCTTGGGCTTGAACCCTGGGCTCAGATGTCACCCCCTTGTCTGGATCTCTGCTTTGCTGTGCTGTCACGGCATCTGGATGGATCCCTGCCTTTGCTCTTACAATGGGTATTGTGTACAGGGTCACAGTGCCAGCTCCCCCCATAGATTTTGAGCTCCCTGACTCAGGCACTTTGTCTGTTCACATCAGTGACCCCAATGCCCAGCACTGTGCTTGACAGGTAGTTGGCACTCAGTAGTTACTGTTGGGGTGATGGATAGGATGAGAGTACAAAGCATCCAGTAATGAACATACAGTGCTTATAATGTCTTGTTGACTTTCTGGTGCTTTTTAATGCTGTCAGTGTTCATCGTTGACAGCAAGCACCCAGAGCACTTGGCTTGAAGCTCTGCCTCTTGGATTCAATTTTCGTACGTCGCCTCTCCCATTTGGGAGATCTTGGACACTTGCTGCCCAGTCTCTCCTTACTCACGGTGATATTTCTCCCTTCTTACTTTAAAATCTCTGAAATGTTAAACTCCTCAAAGAAAACACACACCTTCTTGTTGGGATCCAAGCATTACAGCTGATTTTAAACACCCTAAGAGACAGGTTCCTGAGGGTAATTCCCACTGGCTTTGGCGGAAGTTAGTGGATGCAGGTGGTTGAAGTGTCGGCTCTAAAATTGCCCTGCCCCAGAGTTCCCAGGATTGCTGGCTGACCTGTTCAGTTTTACACCAGAGAACCTAGATGCTCTGGAGAATGCTGGGCTGCTGAGGACCTTTGCTCCCCAGTGGCAAAGTTGGAAAGGTTTTTAAATCGTGTCCTTTCTGTCTTCCTTCTTCCCTGTTTCTATCTCTGTCTCTCTCCCCTGTTCTTTCACACACCTTTCTCTTTCTCTCCTTTTGTCCTTCTTTCTCTCAACTTCCTTTCCCTGTTTCTACCACTTCCTTCGCTGTCCCTACCCCCTTCCCACTCTCCCTTCTCTGCCTTTCTGTGATCAATGCCAGACAGCTGATACGATATGAACACTGTCTTTGTAGCCTGTAGGCTGAGCAGAGGGAACAGAGGTAAAGTGTGTGAAGTGACAGCATCTCTGAGATGGTGGGGACCTTCTCTGACACTGGATTCAGGGGCTACTGAGGACTGCAGATGCTTCAGACATTGGAGCTCGTCTGACCTGGTCCCAGGTATTAACCTTGCAGTGTAGGGTAGGAACAGCTCAGTCTAGACATGTTGCCTTTGTAACACAGCAACAAAGGAAACCTGCTGAAGCTACAAAAGATCCTGGAACTGGTCAGCCTGGCACTCTGGGTCACTGCCAGCATCCACCATGCTTTGCCCCCCCCACCTCACTCCTGCTCTTGCTTCTCCGCACCACAGCTGCTTCCTGTCTTGGTCGTGTTTCGTTCTGAGGCATCACTCTCTGGCCATAAAATGTTGCTTGAGTAAATGAATGAACAACCAAACACTACCTCCTTGGAGGGGCTGTTCCTTCATCAGATGACTTTGCAGGTGGTCGGGTCATGCCCTGGTCACCACTGTGGTGACCCCAGAGCTGTGGAGGAGCGACCTCCTGCCTGGGTGTGGTAGGCGGTTGTGGTGTACCTACAGCACAAGATTTGCCCGGGTTCAGGCCCCAGAGTGCGGCTCACTGGGTGTGAAATCTTGGATAACCCCACTTATCTCTCTGTCTCTGGATAGCTTTTTACCTGTAGAATGGAGGCCATGATGGTCCACACCTCACACAGGTGTTACAGCCTGAATAAGTTAATCCACATGACCTGTGCTGAGTGGAGCCCAGCACATAGTATGAGCTCTCTAAAATCCATCCGGCCCCAGTACTCCCTCCTCAAATTCTATTCCTTCCACCTCGTAAGGCACAAAATTCTCTTAGACAGACCTTCATCCCCACAATGTAAGGTTTTGAGCCATGCAAAACTGCAAATACCAATAGTAGAACTAATGTTCTGAATTGTTATCAACATTTTACTTGTTAGAATAAACTAAGGAACTGAAAAATAATGAGTTCCCATTACTGTTAGCCATGTTAGCAGTTAGCCATGTGCCAGACACTCTGCTAAACTCTTTCATAAACAATCTCATTTAATCCTCACGCAACCTTATAAGGTCAATACAACTATGATTCCTATTTTACAGATGAAGCAACTGAGGCTCAGTTAAAAAAGCTAAAGAACAGCCCAAGGTCACATGGCAAATGAGTAGTAGAGCCTACATTTGAACCTAGGTCTTTCTAACTCTTTGCACTATAAAAACATCATGACTAATAGGCTAAGCACTTTTGAAGTAGCAGCTACCATGCTAAGCTCCATTTTATGGACATACAAACTGAGCCTCAGGTAAATAAAGTTAGTGGCCCAAGGCCCACAGGTACTTAGTAGTGAGTTAAAATTCCCCTTGGTCTGATGTGAAAGGTTGTGCTCTTAGACACTCCACCCTGCTGCAGAGTTTGATGACAACCAAAAGCAGGAGGCAGCTAGGTTATGGGACAGCAATGTAAAAAACAAAAGCGATCCTTTTCAGAGTTATGCGCAGTTGCCCAGGCCCTCTGGAAACTTGGGCTTTGCTGAGACCCTCTCCTGACACTGTTAGATGAAGTTCATTATGTGTAAAGGGAGACAATGAAACCATCTGCCGTTTGCTTCTTCCCAGGTGCATGAGTCCTTGTCAGGGTGGCAAGGCTGGGTAAGCACTGTGGGCCCACAGCCAGCCCACCCGTGCTTGACTTTTAGGTTTGAAGAGGTGAATGTATGTTCCTGGATAAGGTGCTTCACCTCTCTGGGCCTCACTGGGGAAATTAGGGATATTGATAGTGACTGTCTTATGGTTGCAAAGATCAATGAGTCGATCGGGCTGAAGCGTTTAGAACAGTGTCTGGTACGCAACCTATGATGGATTGTATGATGTATTATCACTACCAGAGAGGGGCAGAAACACCTGAGTATAAATCCCTGTAGGGTAGGAACTGTGTCTTCATGTGTGCTGCCTTCCGTTCAAGTCCCGTGACAAAGTTAAGGAGGAAACAAAGAGAAGAAAGCAATTGAAAGTCACAACAGCCAAACTCTCCAGCTGACCAGAAAACTTCTTGTTGAGAATCCCATCATTTGAGCAGCTCCAGCTTCAGCCCAGTTCTGGGCCCATCACAGACAATAGTGCCACTGGCATTTGAGCTGAAGCACCCACTCGTTGGCCATTCACTTGGCAAAGGGTCAACCGATAGAGCAGCTTGTGCCCAGACAAGATTCCAGGGCCTTCTTGTTAGAGGGCGACATGGGGAGTCCGGCCGGCCTGGATTCCACGGTTAGTTCTACAGTGTAATCTTGAGTTCATGGTTTCACCTTCTGAGCTTCGGCTTCTTTGCCTATAAGTTAAGGACACTGATACTGGAGTTGTGGCCTCGTGAGGATTAAATGAAAAAATATTTGTTAAAAACACCCAGCAGAGAGTTGATTTCAATAAAAGGCAGTGGGCATCATTATTCTAATTGTTGTGATTTGCTTGGTGGCCTCCTGAGGTGAGACATGGAACAGGAATTGATACCCGCTGGGTTCTGAGTCCCCGCTCAGTCTCCGCAGTCTCAGCCCCTGTGGTACCCCTGAGAGGGACCCTCAGCTCCATGCAGGTACAGCAGAACAGCGCCGCAGACTGAGTTTGTCATCGAAGGAACAGAGAGGGTCACAAGGGACAGCAGCCTGGCTCCTTGTTCTCTGCGGCTTCTTTCCCAGTTTTTTTTTTGCCATCTGCCTGTCGCATGTGCCGGTAAGAGAGGCCCTTTCCAGGATGTCTCACAGCGTTGTTAGGGCTCAGTATGTGTAAGGGGAGACAGGACCGGTTTTTTGATAAACATCCAAAATTTACACATCAAAATGAGACTTAACGTCGTTCTTCAAAGGAATAGGATACCTGACAGGCTGTGTGCAAATTCAAACAGTTTGTGAACTTACGCTTTGGGTTCATGTTTAGTGCCTCTAGCACCTTCTCCATCTCTCCTCAGAGTTAACATGCC